TCTGTTCGAACGACAGCCTCCTGGTCAAGGTACAGATTCCTCATGAGTACAATCAAGTGCTCAGGGATTCCCATTCTTCTCAATGTTATCCACAGTAATAGTAGCAGGTTTTAATGCAACACTTTCAATGAAAGATAGAACATTTGGAAAGCAATTCAATAAAAGACACAGAAGAATTAAACAATACAATCAACCAATTTCACCTTACAGACATCTTCAGAGCACTTCATCCAACACAATACACTTTCTTCTTTTCCAACATAATTGGAATATTCCCCAGGATAGACTACTGGTTAGGGCAGAAAGGAAGCCCCAATAAATTTCAAAACATTGACATATTGCAAAGCATCTTCTCAGATCACAATGCTGTAAAATTAGAAGTCAATGAAAAGAAAAAGCAAATACATGGAAACTGAGTAACACCCTCCTTAAAATTCCTTCAATCAAATAAGAATGAAAACACAACACACCACAATCTTTTGGAGACAACAAAAGCAGTTATCAGAGCACAATGTATAGCAATAGATGCACACATCGAAAAAGAAAAGCCAAAATCAACACCTTAACCTAACATCTCCAACATTAGAAGAAGAACAGCAAAAGAAGCCTGCCGTCACCACAAGTAACTAACTGCTACTAAGTGAAAGGTTGGCAGTTTGAGCCCACCCTCAGGCCCTCTGAAGAAAGGTCTGCAATCTGCTTTCAAACCATCATCCACAGAACACCCTGCAGTGCAGCTCTCTGAAAACCATCATGCATAATTGATGCTGCAACACCTAGCTTTCTTAAAAAGTCAACTAATGATCTGATTGGAATAATCAATCTATTCACATGCATCCCATATATAAAAAATCAATTCCAGGTCGCTTAGTTTTAAATACAAAAAAGTAAAATCACACTAGTTCAGAAGTTACAAAAAATGATCTTATGTCATCAGAAAACAGAAAAAATTACTAAGAGTAAGACATAAGGTTAAAAAAAATTGACAGGAGAATACTTCAAAAATGCCTATAATATTTAAGACTTGTAAATGATTTGGTAAACATAATAAAGTCTTTAAGAACCTTCTCCAGATTTAAACCAGCTCTAGAGTAATTTTGTCATCAGTTAAAACAGGTATTCCTCTGTGTTTGAGAAGGTTATATCCATTAAATAGAAAATTTCTCAGGAGAAACACACCAAATGATACAGAAATTTCTTCCAGTGGAGACTGTACACCCAAGAACTCCACTACTTACATCTCATATGCTGAGCTTCTCGAGCAAAACAGAACACTGTAATCTGACATTCTAATTCAAAATGATGGAGAAGACAATCAAAAAACTACTGGAACTAATTGAGGGATTTAGCAACGTCGCAGGATATAAGATCAACATCCAAAAATCAGTTGGATTCCTCTACACCAGCAAAG